TTTTTATACTAAGTATTTATATTATTAATTAAGAATAATTACCTATTTATTTTTAGAACTATTTATTTATACTTAGGTTTTTAGCTAAAGTATTAGCTCTTCTATTTTCTAATCTCTTTAATATATAATTTTATAATTAAATTTTAATAATATTTAGTATAATATATTTATCTCTTATTAAGCTATTATATTATAGTAAAATATTAAATATTTTTATAATCTATATAGACTTTTACTTTATATTATATTCTTAAAATAATAATATTTAAATTCCTTAAATATATAATAATAATTATAAATTCCTTATTATAAATAAAGTAGTTAAGTTCTACTTATATAGTTTCTTTTAAGAAGAATACTATAAGGTATAATACTTTATTATTATCTTCCTAATTAAGTTATATACTAATTATAAGTTTAATATATTAATTTTAAGTTTTACTTCCTTTATAAGATTAAATATTTATAATATAGATTTTAATAAAATTTAATTCTTTATTTTATTAAATACTTTTTTATTATTTTATTTTTTATTAAATTTTATTCCCTTTTTATAATATTATATAGGGTATAATAATCTTTCTATAGTTTTAATAAATTATTAATAGTAATTAATAAATTTAAGAAAGGCTTATACTTTTTTAATAATATTTAATACTTTTTAATCTTTAATTATAATAATCTTATCTTTCTCTATTTAGATTTTATTTAATTAAATAGTATATTTTAAAAAGTTAATTTCTTATATATAGAAATAGCTTTTCTTTAATTCTATAAAAGTTTTATTTCTTTTAACTTTCTTAAGACCTTATAGATATACTCTTTATAAGTTTTTAAGTTATTAAAAATATTAAAATATTATTAAGATAAATAATTATAAAGATATTAAAATACTTTAGAGTACTTAATTAATTATTTATTAAAATATTATAAGTATATTTATTAATCTAAAGAGTATTATAAGATATTTATATAAGTTAAACTTTATTCTAAAAGCTATTTTCTATTTATCTTTTTTTTAATTTATATTAAGTTATAAGCTCTCTTAAGATTTAGTATAATAAATTACTATTTACTTTATAATTAATCTCTAAGTTCTATAATTAATAATAAAGATATTTTATCTTTATATATAATCTTATTAAGCTATTAATAATCTATAATAAGTTATAATTTCCTATTTTTCTTTAATATAAATATTATAAAGTATCCTATAGATAAAGTTAATAATTATATATAGCTTTTTATTAATATATTATTAATATATTTATAAAGTATTTATAGTTAAGGTTTTATAAGGTTATATAGCTTATAAAAAGCTAATTCTTCTTTATTAATAATAGAGATTTTATAGTTTTATTAATTATACTTTAATAACTTAATATTAAGAGTCTCTTTAAATAATTTCTTATAAGTATAATACTCTTAGGGAATATAATCTATTTATTTATCCTTTAATATTACTTTTATTATTTATTTATTATAAGTTTCCTTATCTTATAAATAATTCTTAATATTATACTCTCTTCTTTAAGGGTTAATTATTTATACTTAATCTATAAAGTTTATTTTATTATATTTTTTATTAGTATTTATAAAAGTTACTTCTTTTTATTATTACTTCTCTTTATCTTTATAATATTAACTTTTAAATTTAAGTATAAGTTCTATTTCTTATTTCTATATTTAAGTTAATATTCTTATTATATATTATAATTCCTAATAAGATATTTTCTTTATTATATTAAGTTATAGTACTATTAAGACTATAATTATTATATTTACTTACTATATTAAGTTATTATCTTTTATTTTTATAATAATACTTTTAATTATTAAGGAGTATTATACTCTTTTAGTACTTAATAAAATTTTAATTTTCTTTAATCCTAGGTTAATATATAAGAGTATCCCTTTACCTTATATAATTAATATATTAATTAATTAGTAGGTTTATATCTCTTAACTATAGAATACTTAGTATAATATTATAAGTATTAATTTATATAATATTATAGGAAATATTAAAGTTTTTTCTATTAATCCTAATTATAAGATAATTAATCTTATAGTTAATAATCTTATTATTATATTTAAACTTTATTCCTTTAATATTAATAATATTATAGGGTTTCTTCTTTCCCTTCTATAATAATAAGTATTAATTAATTACTATTAATAAGATATATTCTCTTATACTCTATAGTTTATTATTACTATAAGTTAATTCCCTTTAATCTTAATATTAATAATAATATTATATAAGCTTCCTATTTTAATAGCTTTTAAGGTCTTTTAATTAATTATTATATATTATACTATAGCTCTTTTATAGATAATTATTATTATTTTTTACTTAATTAACTTATTTATTAAGAGCTATTACTTCTATATTAAGATAGTTTTTACTTTATTTCTATTTATTTATAGAGGTAATACTTTATTCCTCTATTTTACTATTATCTTTATTATTTATTAAAGATAATATATCTTATTTATAATATTATTATAGCTCTTCTTCTTATATTTAGTATTATTAAAGATATAGTTTAACTATATTAAGATTATTATCTTTATCTTTATTATATTAAGTATAATCTATTTACTATTTAAGTAGTTTTTATACTTTTAATCTTAATATTATTTAATTCTATTATTATATATATATATTATATAATCTTTATATTCCTTTTCTTTATACTATTATTTAATCTTAAATTCTTTATAGATTTTATATTAAGGTTTATAATATAAGTTAATTAATACCTCCTTAATATTATATTTAATAAGGTATTCTTCTAAGTCTTCTTTAAAGATAGTATATTAATTTATTCTATATTATAGATAGGAAAAGTATTATACTTATTCTTTAATATATATAGTAAATATAATTCTATTTACTTATAAAAAGAAGTTATTTTTTATCTTCTTTTTCTAATATATTCTATAGTTAGTATTATAATATAATATTTATAATTCTTTATTATAGTTTTTATTATACTTATCTTTAAGTAGGTAGATATATTATAGATTTATCTTTAATATTTTATTATTTATTTAGTTATTCTACTATAGAGTATTAAGATATTTAATATATTAAGGTCTATTCCTTTATCTTCTATTAATAATAGATATAAACTTCTTTATATTTTATTTAAATTATATTCTTATTTATAGGTATAATATTTTTTCTTCTAGGTTTAATAATATAAATCTATTTTTATAGAGAAATATATATTTATAGGTTATAAGTAGTCTATAGCTTAAGACTTCTCCTTTTTTAAGTTTACTTTATAACTCCTTAAATATTTCTTTAATTTATTTTTATTATTCTTATATAATATTAACTTTTTATCTATCTTCTTTATTTACTATCTTATAGAAGATTAATATAAGTTATATAGAGAACTTAAGGATTTAAATAATATCTTTTAAGTATTCTTTCTTTTAAATTATTCTTAAAGTTCTAGTATTACTTTTCTAATTACTTTAAGTTATTTCTTTCCTTTAAGTATAAGCTTTTAGTCCTTTTTATCTTTCTTTAATTTCTTATAATAAATAGTAATATATTTAACCTTATTATAATTAAAATACTTATATTTTTCTATAGCTTTTAGCTTTATAAGATTAATATATATTCTAAAGATTATAGTTCTTAGTTTATATTTTTATTAAGGTCTTTTAGTATTAATATAAACTATTAGTTATTATTTATAAGTTTACTATTAATATTATTAATTATTAATTCTTATAATTATAGTTATATATTTATAGATACTTATTAGCTTATTTTCCTTATAGAGTTCTTCTTAGACTTTTTTCTTAAGCTTATTAAAGTAATAAGATATAATATACTCTTAGTCCTATTTAGTCTTTATTAATAGCTATAGGTATTAAGTATTAAAGGTTAAGGTTAATTTAGTTTAAGTAAGTTAATTAATATTATATTTTAATTTCTATTTCTTATTTTAAATTTTAAAGATTTACTAAAAAGTCTTTATAAAGTATTTAAAGCTTATTATAATATTTATAGTTTATTAAGTATTACTTTTATTAAGGTATTCCCTTATAGTAAGTTTAAACTAATTAAGTATAATTTCTATAAGGTATAAGTATATATAAATAACCTTTCTTATATTATTATTAAGTATAATAAGGAAATAGTTAAAGTATACCTTAAGCTAAATAATAAACCTTTATAATTTAGCTTAAGTTTTATTAAATAGCTTAAGTATTAATAATTTAAGTAATTATCCTAGCTCTCTTCCTTAAGTAATAATAATAACTTAAGCTTAGAGATTAGTATTTATAGTAGCTTACTATCTTATTAAGTTTATTATAGTAATTAGGTTTCCTTAAAGTTTAATAAGGTAAGCTTAAAGTTAAATAATCTATTTATAAAGAAGCTAAACTTCTAAGTTAGTATTATTATCCTCTTTATTATTACTATTATTACTATCTTTATTTATAATATCTATAATAGTAGCTTAATTAATAGTAGTAGTAAGTATATTATTTTAGTAAATAAGAGGAACTATAGTAATTATAATATTTTTTATTTATTATATAGTAATTAAGATAAGGTAATTATTTAAATAAAAGTTATTAATATATAATAGTTAATAGATTTATATTAAATAAGGTCTAAGGTAAGTTAAAGGTATAATTAATTAAAGTATTATTTTAAGAGGGTAATTAAGTTATCTTAATACTATATAAGTTACTATTAATATATAAGTATTAAAAGTTAGTTTTAATAAAGGTAATAGTAATTATATTAATAACTATCTAGGAGAGTATTCTTATCTAGAAATAAATATATATATAGTAGAAGCTTTATTAAAGCTTTATTAGTTTTTACTTAGACTTTATTTTACTAAAGTAAAGTTAGTTATTATTAATTACTAAGGTAGATCCTATTAATCTACCTTATATATAACTTCCTATAGCTTAATAAAGGCCTTTATTTATAATAAGTTTAATTTATTACTTAGCTTTATTATTATAATATTTTTTTAAAATAAGTAGACTTTATCCCCTTCCTTTAAGATTAATCCTTTTAATCTTATTTATTATAATATTTTTTTATTCTTTATTATATAAACCTTAATTTAACTTATATTTCTATATATAATAAGTATAATATTTCTTTATAAGTATAATAATAAATACTATAAGTTTATTAAATTCTAATTTACTTAAGAACTTTAATTTATAATTATAATTTATATATATTAATAATAATTAAGTTAATTCTTATATTATATTATTATATATAATTTATATTATAAGTAATAATTATATCTAATTATCTTATTTATAGTTAATATATACTTATAAGTATTATTTAATATTTAGTTTAAATATTCTATTTATTTATTACTTTATAAGTAGTAAGCTATTAAGAGCTTATACTTTATATCTATTTATACTATAAGTAATTACTAGAACTTAAAGGTAAATATTATTCCTCTATTTAATATTATCTTATTAAGTAGTTTATAATTTATAATTATATATTATAAGACTTAATATATAAAGTCTTTTATAAAGCTTATTTCTTTATATAGTATAAATTATTTATACTTTATAAGTTTATTAATAATTATTAAGATATTATTATACTTTACTTTAGTTATAAGTTCTTTAAATAGTAATAATTTAATAATATAGTTAAAGGATATTAATTACTATAGTTATTTTAGTATTAAGATTAATTTAAGTTCTTTATATAATTTATATTATATTAATTAATTATATATAAATATTATATTTTAAACTATAATTTATATTTCTTTTTATAAATTAAGGTAATTATAATATTATTTAATTTTATTAAAGGTCTTATTAATTCCTTAATATCTTAAAAGTAAGTACTTATAGACTTCTTTAATAAGTATTATTCTTATTTCTTATTATAGTTTCTTTAAGTTAGAAATAATCTCTATTTATACCTTAATATATATTATTTCCTTAAGTATAGCTTTAAGGGATTTCTATATTAAATATCCTTTATTATTTATTAAGAATAACTATTTATTAATCTTTAGTATTATTTTCTTATATTCTATTTTTTAGCTAAGGGTATTAGCCCTTCTATTTTTTAATCCTTTTTAATATATAATCTTATAATTAAATTAAAATAAGTATTTAATATAGTATATTTATCTTCTATTTAGTTATTAAGTTATAATAAAGTACTAAATATTCTTATAATTTATATATACCTTAACTTTATATATTATTCTTAAATAGTAATATTTAAATTCCTTAAATATATATATAATAGTTATAAATTCCTTATTATAAATAAGGTATTTAAGCTTTATATTATATAATTTCTTTAAATAAAAGGCTATAAGGTATAGAATTTTATTATTATCTCTTTAATTAATTTATATATTAATTATAAAGTCTAAAGTATTAGTTTTAAATTCTACTTTCTTTATAAGATTAAATATTTATAATATAGGTTTAAAGGTTATATTATTTTTAATATTAATAAATATATCTTACTATTTAATAGTTTATTTAAATATATTATCTTTTTTTATAAGATTATATAGAGGTAAAGTAATCTTCTTATAATCTTTAATAAATTATTAATAATAATTAGTAAATTTAAAGAAAACTTATACTTTTTTAATATTTATAGGTTTTTTCTATTTAGTAATTATAATAATTTTTCCTTTTTCTATTTATATTTTATTAAGTTAAATAGTATATCTTAGAAAGTTAACTTCTATAATAAAGAATTAACTTTTCTTTAATTTTATTAAAAAGTTAATATCTTTTAACTTCTTTAAGACTTTATATATATATTTCTAATATATCTTATAATTATTTAAGAAGATTAAGATATTATTAAGATAAATAACTATAAAGATATTAAAATACTTCTAAAGTACTTAGTTAATTATTTATTAAAATATTATAAGTATATTTATTAATCTAAAGAGTATAATAAAATACTTATAGAGGTTAAACTTTATTTTAAATATTATTTTCTATTTATCTTCTTCTTTAATTTATATTAAGTTATAAGCTCCTTTAAGATTTAATATAATAAATTACTATTTACCTTATAGTTAATCCCTTAATTCTATAATTAATAATAAAAGTATTTTATCCTTATAAGTAATCTTATTAAGTTAATAATAATTTATAATTAGTTATAGTTTCTTATTCTTTTTTAGTATAAATATTATAAAATATCCTATAAATAAAGTTAATAGCTATATATAGCTTTTTACTATTATATTATTAATATATTTATAGAGTATTTATAATTAAGGTTTTATAAGGTTATATAGTTTATAAAAAGCTAATTCTCCTTCTTTAATAATAAAGATTTTATAATCTTATTAATTATATTATAGTAATTTAATTTTAAGAGTTTCCTTAAATAGTTTCTTATAAACTTAGTATTCCTTAAGGATATATTTTATTTAGTCCTTCTTTAGTTTTTTTAGTTTATTTTCTTATTTCTTCCTCCTTTTAGCTTTTTTATTTTAAAGAATAAACTTAATATTATATTTATTTTTTAATTAAAGTATTATCTATATTTAATTAATAAAATTAATATTTAGTAATTTCTTAATTTTTTATATTTAAGTTAATATTCTTATTATTCTTTATAATTCTTATTAAAATATACTTTATTTTATATTAAGTTATAATATTATTAAAGCTAAATCTACTATATCTACTTATTATTATAAGTTATTATTCTTATTTTTTATAATAATACTTTTAATTATTAAAGTTTTATTAAATTCTTTTAATATTTAATAAAATTTTAATTTTTATTAATCTTAATATTAATTTATAAGAGTATCTCTTTATTTTATATAGTTAATAAACTAATTAATTAATAAGTTTATATCTCTTAATTAAAGTAATTTTAATATAATATTATAGATATTTAATAATATTATATTATAAGTAATATTAAATTTCTTTCCTTAAATTTTTATTATAAAGTAATTAGTCTTTAAGTTAATTATCCCTTTATTATATTTAAACTATATTCCTTTAATATTAAATACTATATAGGGTTTCTCCTTTTTTCCCTATAGTAAGTAAAGTTAGTTAATTATTATTAATAAAATATAATCTCCTTATACTCTATAGTTTATTAAAGTAATAAGTATTTTTCCTATAATCTTAATATTAATTATAATATTAATAAAGCTTTTAATTTCTATTACTCTTAAGATCTTTTAATTTAATATTTTATTATTTTATAGCTCTATTATAAATAATAATTATTATTTTTTATTTAATTAACTTATTTCTTAAGTTTATTATACTTATTATTATATTTAGGTATTTATCTTAAGAGTTCCTTAAGTATTTTAAGTATATTTATATATCCTAAAATATACTTTTAGAACTTTTTTATTTATTAATTAATTTTATTTTATTTCTTTAAAAGTATTATTCCTTTTTAAAAGTAGTTTATAATTTATTCCTTTTTATTTATAAAGGTAATTTCTTATTCCTTATTAATTTCTTTATCTTTAATTAATAATATTATAATAGCTTATTCTTAATATTAATATTTATTCTCTTTTTAATTTTATTATTATTTAAGGGATTTCTTTATATAATTTTTATTATTATCTCTCTCTTACTAGGTTAAGTATTAGTTATTTTATATATTAATAATTTAAATACTTTTAATTTATATATTATTTAATATATCCCTTATAGTTATAAGCTATTTAATTTTTTTAAGCTTTTTATTTATATTATAATTTAATTTTATCTTCTTTATAGATCTTATATTATTATTCTTAATATAGCTTAATTAATAATTCCTTAAATTTATATTCTTTAAAATACCTTTTTAAATCTTCCTTAAAGATAAAATATTAATTAATATTAAGTAACTTATTTATAAAGTAAAGTATTTATTTATTAATATACTTAAAGGGTATCTTTCTATTAAGCTAAGGAAAAGTATTATTCTTTATTTTCTATTATTAATAAATTATATAGAAGATATTATAATATATTATCTATAATTCTATATAGTAATTAGTTCTAGGGATATTCTTTTAATAGCTTAATAATTTAAAGAGGCTATTTAAGTATTAAATAATATTTACTATCTTTTATTTATAGATTATAAGTATTATTATAATAAATAGGTCTTACTATTTAATTTTTAGCTAATAATATATATAAACTTCTTTATATTCTACTTATATTATATTTTTTATTTATAAGTAATATTTCTTTTCTTTTAATATATATTTAATAAACCTATTATAGTATTAAAATACTAATTTATATTTAATTAAAGGGTTATATTTTAAGTTAATATTACCCTTTTTATATTTCTTCTTTATATCCTAGAAGATTTCCTTAATTTATTATTAGTTTTCTTTTATTATACTATCTTCTTATTATTCTTATTTTTCTAGTATTTTAGTAAAAATAAATATAAATATTATAGAAAATTTAGGAGTTATTATATTTATAGATATTCCTTTTTAAGCTATTTATTAAATTATTCTTAAGGTTTAATTTTTAGTTTTTCTAATTATTTCTAATTATTTCTTATCTTCTTTAGTAAGCTTTTAATTATATTACCTCTTAGGTTTTAAATACTAAAGGGATATATACCTTATTTCTCTATAATTATAGTATTTCCTCTTTTTTATAGTCCTTAGCTCTATAAGATCTAAGTATATTTTAAACTCTATAAATAGTAAGAGAGCTTACTTACTTCCTTAATTTAACTTACTTTTTATCTTAATATAGTTCTATTTACTATATTTATTTACTTTTTACTATTATTATTTATATAAATAGTTATTAATTTATATTATATTAGCTATATACTTAAATAAATCTTTTAGTTCCTTAAGTTTATAGAGTTAATCTTTTATCTCTTTTTTTAGTTTATTATAGAATATAGCCTTAAGGGGGCTATTATTCTATTTAAGCTAAGTTATAACTTCCCTAAACTTTATAATATATCTAGATATAGGCCTTATTTATTTAAGGTTCTTAAAGTCTTTAATAACTTATTATTCTTTATTTATTATTCTAAATATAGTAATAATTATAATTATAAAATTAATATAATTAATAAGGATATTAATAATTTCCTAGTTTTTATTCTTAAGTTTAGTTTTATTATTATATTAATCCTTTAAGTAAGCTTAGAATTATTATTCTATAGCTTTAGTAAAGTATATTTCTATAAACTTAATTTATTCTTCTTTATTTATAAGTTTTATTAAAAAAAACTTAAAGTATATTTAGAGTTAGATCTTAAAGCTATTTAGTTCCTAAATATCTTTAAAGAAAGGTTCTAGGGGAGTTAATTAAATAACTTCTCTTTAGTTCTTTACCTTCTCTTTCTTAAGCTACTTAATTTATACTATAAGCTACTATATAGTTTCCTAAGTAATAAGTATATTTAGAGTATTATTATTAAATATAATAAAAGCTATAATATCTTTTTATTATTATATAGTAATTAAGATAAAGTAATTAGCTAAATAAGAGTTATTAATATATAATAGTTAGATAATTTATATTAAATAAAGGTCTAAAGTAAGTTAAAGTTAAATTAATTAAAATATTATTTTAAATAGTATAATTAAGTTATTTAAGTACTATATAAGTTATTATTAATATATAAGTATTAAGGAGCTAGTTTTAATAAAAGTAATAGTAATAGTATTAATAACTATTTAAGAGAGTATTTCTATTTAGGAAATAAATATATATATATACTAGAGTACTTAGTATTTATATATTTTAATTAGTACTAAGTATAGTATACTTAGTAATAAGTACTAGTACTTAGTCTTAAGTATTATTCTTTAATATTTAAGTATATTATATAATATAGATATAGAGCAGCCTATAACTAGGGCGTAATATTAAAGTATAGCTATAATACTAAGCTTAATTTATAAGTATATTTTAGCTATATAATTGCTTGCTAATATAAATAGCCTAAAATAATATTATATAATGCTATATATTGCGGCTATATATATCTTTTCAGTGTAGCCGCCTGTAAAAGAGGCTATAGTTAATCTCTTTATAGTAAAATCCTTAGATTTACTAAATTTAACCTAATTTAGTAAGTCTTCTATATTAGTAATATATAAGAGAAAGAGAATAAAGTTTAATAGTAATAGAAGCTACTAGAGCTTAATAACTTAATATAATAAATATAAAAACTTTAGAAAAAAGCCTTTTATTAACTTAAGGTTATAATTATATAGAAAGAAAAGTCTATAAACCTTTATATTAATAACTTACTTATTATTAAGATAAGTAGCTTATTAAATAATTATTATTTATTTATTTTCTCTTATTATAAATAAAGGTTATTTAGTCCTAAGATTAAGCTATATATATAATTATTATATATAGTTTTTAAAATATAATTTATAGCTTATACTTAAACCTTTAATATTATAAAAACTTAAATATTTATATATTTAGTTTAAATATAAGTATTAATATCTTATTAAAAACTTTAATAAAAGCTAGCTAATATATAAGTTAGTTATAGCCTTAAAAGGAGATATTTATTACTACTAATTATAATTACTTTTCTATATATCTAGTAGGTCTATAAGCTTTATATAATTTCCCTCCTTTAAAGAGAGAGTAATATTAACTATAACTTTAATATATTTATAACTAATACCTATAACTTTAATCTATAATTTCTTAATAATAATAATAACTTTTAACTTAAAATTAATATTATATTATTACTATATATTAATTTAGCTATAGCTTAAATTTTAAAAGAATTATACTATTATATAGTAAAAGTAGTATATATTTATATTTCTAGATTTAATAAAATGTATTTAATATATATTTAGCTTACTTATATACTTATAATTATAGAATTAGCTATAATTTATTATATAAATATCTCTCTTTAAAGAAGAAGGTTAAGAGTAATTTCTAGCCCTTTAAGAGACTTAGGATTAAGTAGATAACTCTTAGAAGATATAACTATTAATTATAATATCTCTTAAAGCCCTTAAGTTATTTCCTAACTATTTAGATTAAAAAGCTACTTAAAAGCTTTAAAGAGAGGCTTAAGCTATTATTAAAGCTCTCCCTAAATTAGCTTAATACCCTCTTAGCTCTTTAAATAGTAATTATATTAATATTATAATAAATAGCTTTATTAAGTTATTTAATAATAATAATAATATTAAAATAATTATATATTACTTACTTAATTTAATTTAGATAAGAGATATATTAATCTCTATAGGAAAACTTATAAATTTATATAAGAAAGAAGTTAAATTTATATCTCTTACTTATTTAGGTAAATTATATTATATATCTATAAATTACTTATTTAATAATCTAGAGATTATTATAGGGGATATACTAATTACGGTACTTAAATTATAGTACTATAATTAGTTAATTAATTATTATATTATTAATTTTACTTTAAAAAAATTAAAATTAAATATATAGGTTAATTAGCTATTAATTAATAATATATTAAATTATTATATAAAATACTCTTAAATTAATAGATTTATAGAGGGTTAAAGTTATAGGTATTAATTATAAATATATTAAAGTTATAGTTAATATTACCCCCTCTCTAGAGAGAGGAAATTATATAAAGCTTATAGACTTACTAAATAGTAATAATAATAATAATAATAATAATAAGATATTATTATTTAATACTTATATCCCTATTAATAATAAAGTAAATCTAATAACTATATTTATTAAGTTTATCTCTATATTATAATAACTAAGTAAATAAAGTACTTCTTAAAAATATAAAAGACTTTAATAAGCTTAACTTTAATAATAACTACTTTATTATATATACTTATTATAACTTAATATTTAATTATTAATTTTAATATATTATATATTATATTAAATTAATTTAAGTAGAGATAGCTATTATTTAAGTTTTAATTTAATAAATTAATTTAGATTTAGACTTATTTAATATAATATAATAAAAAAGCTTTTAAAAAAGGTTATTATATTTAAGGTTTATAATATTTACTAGAAAAGTTAAATTTATAAAGTAGATTAATTAATTATATCTATAAATATAATATAATATTTACTATAATAAAATCTTTATTATTAATATATAGCTTAATTAATTCCTAATACCTAGTAATTTATATAATTATATATTATATAGTAACCTTTAATTTATAGTCTATATATTTTAATATCTTTAATTACTTTAGTTAATATATATTAAATTTAGCTATATCCTTATATTAAATAAAATATAGAATCTTTTTAATAGCTACTTTAATAATTATAGTTTATTTAAGGGTATTTTAGTTATATAGGCCTTTTAAGGTTATACTTTTAATTAATATCTTAAGTAGCTTATTATATTTAATTATTATTTAATTAAGTTAAATATACTTTATATCTTTAGTGTAAAGCTCTTATTTATAGTTATAGTTACCTTAAAGAAGAGTAACTCTAAGACTCTTAATTATTAAACTATATAGCTTATAATAGCTAGTATATAAGGGACTTTAGTAGTTAAGGAAGAAAGGTGGATTAAAATTAATTATTCTAACTAACCTCTCTAGGGGTCCTAGAGGATTATTTCTAGTTATAGGTGTGGTCATGTGACCTTATTTGCATCCTTGATGTAAGAGGTGCGTTTATGGCTTTTGGACCGCGAATTGCAGGGCCTGCGTTCTAACAGGTGTTATCATCACCATGTCAGCAGCGATGGTGGAGCTAGGATTGCGGGGGGGTGCGGGGAAGCGGATAGTCAACCTCGACTTTCATCGTCTTGGAGCTAAACCAGACCCTTGCCGCAGTTATCAAGCGAGCCTTGGTCACTTGATCCATGGGCATCCCGTATCACGGAACCAGCCGAGCTTTGGGTCTTCCCAGCGTTCTCGCTCCTCGGCAACTGGGATCACTTGGTAGAACTGCAAGACTGGGGAGAATTGGAACATGGTTACATGTAGATACAATACATAGCGATCAAATATCTAGAGTTTACACGACTCATGGTTGCTCATTGGGGCCAGCTCAATGCCCTCTAAATCTACGTAGCCGTACAGTTCCATCTTGTCCCCGTCAGCCTCCAGGGCCTTCTCCCACTTCTCCACACTCTTGCTGAAAGCCTCGACCACCTCGTCATTGGTGAGATCCATTGGGCACTGGTTCCTCCCAAGCTGCCGGATCTGCGTCCCTGCCACCGTCTCGGTCAGGCCATAGTCTTGGTTATTCACCTTTTGAACTACCCCTCCCGTGTTGACCTTGCCGTCGAGGATGTCTCTTGGCAGGTTTGGTTCTGCGCAGAGCGTGCGGGCCAGCCCGATACCGTCAACCACCTCGAGCGCCTTGACCATGGCGCTGACGGTCCGGAGGCCTCCGGTCACAAAGACCTTGGTCTCCTTGAGCCTCGGCACAATCGACTCGGCAAACTCGAGGAAGAAGGCCTCGCGCTTCTTGGTCGTGTCGCTCTTGTGCTCAAAGGCCATGTCCTCGTACGTGCCCCCGGAAAGCTCCACAAAGTCAAACTGACACTGCTGCTCAAGGAGCACGCATAGGTCGGCGCACTCTTCAGGCGTGAACCCCTTTTCGTCAAACTCGACCGAGTTAAGCTTGACGCCGAGGACGAACCCGGCCGAGAGGGGGACGCGTCGTCTGATTGCGGAGGCAATTTCCACAATGATGCGGGCCCGGTTCGCGATGCTCCCGCCGTACTCGTCGGTGCGCTGGTTGGTCCTCCGGGACAGGAACTGGGAGAGCAAGTAGCCGTGGGCACCGTGCAGCTCCACGCCATCGAAGCCGGCCTTGTAGAGGTACTCGGCCGAGTGCGCAAACGCCTGCACAAGTCCCCTGATCTCCCCACGACTGGCCGCGTGGGGCTTGGCAAACTTCATGCCCCAAACCTCCTTGGCGAGATGAACAGCCGACGCCGAGACGGGGTCAGGCTGGAGCCGGCTCTGCACCTGGCGGCCCGCGTGGGAGATTTGGCCAATCATCAAGCTCCCGCCATGATTGCCAGCCCACGCCAGACGCTTATAGCTTTCAAAGCGCGGGCCCTCGAATGGGGCGTCGGGGGGGATGATGAGGTTGCCCGGGCCTTCGATGTTGACGGGGTCAACCATCAAGTTTCCCGTAAGGATGACACCAATGCCTCCTTCTCCGAACCACTTGAAAGCATTGATGACATCGGGGGTAGGGATGCCGCGCTTGCTGGCGTCCTTGAGGTCCCACGTACAAAGTCGTTCAGTCATGGATGCCTTCAAGAACCTATTCTTGGCTGTTCGTTTTGAAAAGGCGAATTGCAGGGGCCGACCCAAGGATGATGCGTCCGAGACGGGTCGGTCCTCTCCGTATCGTTGCTTAGCCATCATGTAGGTATAACAGGGAGGGGGGTTCACTTGGTTGTAAGTCAGGCCACAGCGACTGTTGGGGTATTGCGGTTGCTCAAATAGCTGCCGTGAGGCCATGAAGCATATATGGGTTCTTACTGGGTAACAAGTTACATCAGCATACTCCTTCCTTATTCGTTGTTTGAGCGAATTGACAGTGTGCCCCGTGGTTTGATTTGTCAACGCCCAGGGTGTTGTCCGTTAAAGCAAGTAGGCAAGTTAGTCTTCTTGTTCAGGCTAGAGATACTCGAAGCAGATCCACTTGTACGGTGGGTTCCGTAAACTTGCCTAAAGTAGAAATTTTGCGAAGCAACAAGGCCACTCGGCACGATGGTGTAGCACCCTGTGTGGACTACGGACCAACTAGCGTCGATCTAACAACGTCGGATGAATTCATTTAGAACCATACCCAAGGCAGAGTAGCGAAAAGGTACTAGGGCAGGCAGGGCGTTTAGCTTTCCTCGTCTCTCTCAGTTTCACTGAATCGAGTACCGAGATACCTTGGACAAATACTTTCAGCAAACGTGCTCGCAAGAGAAGGGTACTGTTTACCCTTTCGGGAAAGATTGTGAAACTGGACATGATCTCTGCCAACCTAGTTGACGAGGCTCCCTAGTTGACGAGCCTCTACTGCATCGGTCACCATCCCGAGCTCCTCATCCGACGCCGCCTTCTCACGTCTTTTCCCGCCATGCAGCCTCGTATGAAAGGTCGATAATCCTCCCTGGAACTCGCAGGGACGTCTATTTGCTCGTCTCTACTCCTAAACTTCCCAATCCTACCCAAAAGTGTCACGAAAATGGTCTCCCTATTCGCAGATTTGGTCACGCCAAACGGAATAAGCTACCAGCAGCCGCTCGGTCTCTTCATCAACAATCAATTTGTCGCATCCAAATCTGGCGAGACGTTTGCGACCATCGACCCTGCGTAAGGACCGTTTCCCTGTTGAGTCGTTTCTCTGACCGTTGACAGAACCGAACGGGAAATCGCCCGCGTACACTCGGCCGGTGCCGGCGACGTCGAAGATGCGGTGCGCGCCGCTCGTCAGGCTTTTGAGGAGGTCTGGTCTGAGGTCTCCAGCCAGGAGAGAGGCCGGATACTGTGCAAGCTGGCCGACCTGATAGAAGAGAATGCCGATGTCCTTGCAGCGATCGAGTCTTGGGATAATGGTGAGTGGCTAAAAGCATGATATGGAGGCTGTGTAATCGACGAGTTGACATTTTCAGGCAAGCCATACTCAACAGCTATCCGAGAAGATATTCCCGAGGTGGTTGACACGCTGCGATACTACGCAGGCTGGGTGGACAAAAGATACGGACAAGGTAGGTATCGAACGCTCGTCTGCATCTTTAGAAGCTCGAGTGACTGACCTTGTTATGCGACGCCAAGTGATTCCTACAAAAGGGACACAACTCAACTATACTGTGCCTGAGCCACTCGGTGTCTGCGGGCAAATCATTCCATGGAACTACCCAATCGTCATGGCCTCGTGGAAGCTGGCCCCAGCTCTCGCTGCCGGCAATACGGTTGTACTCAAGGTATCGGAACAAACCCCCCTGTCGGCGCTGTTCCTCGCTAGTCTGATTGCCTCTGCCGGCTTCCCACCTGGAGTTGTCAACATAATCAACGGATATGGAGCCGTCGCGGGTTCTGCCCTTGCGTCCCACCACGACGTAGACAAGATTGCCTTTACTGGTTCTACCCAGACGGGCAAGGAGATTATGAAGCAGGCGGCAAACAACCTGAAGAGCGTGACGTTGGAGACTGGGGGCAAATCGCCCTTGATCATCTTCAACGACGCCGACTTGGATGCGGCCGTTGCAGCCGCCTATCCCGGCATCATGGCCAATGCTGGGCAGAATTGCACAGCGAATAGCCGCTTGCTGGTACAAAGGGACGCATACGACCGCTTCCTGAAGCTCTTTATAGCGAAAGCAGTTGCAGACGCCAACGTCGGGGACCCCTTCGCAGAGGATACCTTTCAAGGCCCCCAGATTACGCAGACGCAATTTGACCGCATCCTCTCGTACGTACAGTCTGGCAAGCAAGAGGGTGCTCAGCTTGTGCACGGGGGCAAAGCGCACAAGAATCTAAACGGTAAGGGCTTCTTTCTCGAACCCACAATCTTTACGGGCGTGACACCTCGGATGCGCATCTATCGTGAAGAGATCTTTGGCCCATTTGTCGTTGTCCTGCCGTTCGAATCCGAGTCGGAAGCCGTCCAAATGGCCAACGACACCGAGTTTGGGCTGGCAGCGGCAGTCTTCACCAGGGACATAACCCGAGCGCATCGAATCACGCGCAAGCTCAAGGCCGGCAGTGAGTTTTCCTAGTTCTTGCGAGATTTTGGTTTTCCCTGGCATCGAGAAATGCTAACTCTAGAATAAGCCGTCTGGATCAACGATAGTCAGACGGTCGACCCTCGCATACCTTTCGGTGGCTTCAAGCAGTCGGGTATTGGTCAGGAGCAGGGAGAGGCCGGCATCAAGGCGTACACAAACTACAAGACAGTGGTTGTCAACTTGTCTGCTAATACTCATAGTCCTGCCTCTCCAGGGCCAAAGCTATAGGGACTACTTCGGTAGATTGCTATGTACGGAAGCCGGACATGAAAGGATATGGACGCACTGTGGAGGCATGAGTGTCTCTTGTGGTCCAGTTCGTTTAAGTGATAGGATAGAAGACTAATATCAGTCACCTTAACCCATTAGAAGCACATGTGACCCTAAGTCAGTAATGAGCGTCTCAAACTTCATACTTCTTTCAGTATCTATGAAATATCTTATAGTACAAGCCGCGGGCCACGGATTAGATTATCTGCAGTGAAAATTTACCCTACTAGGATTTCCTATAATCGAGAAGAACCAATAATTTACAACATGCAGAAGTAGATATATCTAGATTAGGCTTCATCGCCGTGCCTGTAGTAGACTAGGGGTGCTCAAACGGTGAAAGAGAGCCACCAAGTCAACCCGAGTCGTGAACAGGAATGTGGCGATATTTTTAACGCTAAGAAATCAGTGCCTAGTTTGATCTCGTAGTGAGACTGAAAGAGGCAACTCTGAAATGTATGAGATCACCTAGCATCTCTTTCAGGTCACGCCCGTTTAGCCCGTCGTTCACAATCCCAAAGCGGCAAGTTAGGAGGCGTACACATGTCATATATCGGCCCCCGATTTGTAATAAGTAAACATGACTGCCCCGAGGCTGATTAATGGCGATTTAAAATCAAGTGTGTAAAGACTGGTCTCATGGTGTCCATAAAGACCACTCCCCGTTGTCGAAATGGCGGTTATTCGGAATCTAGCGAAATATCGTCCCGTATGATCCAGCTGCCATCAACTCATCCACCCAAATATTGACCAGTCAGCGCACGCATTCAGCCCAATATGACAACCCCACGTTCTTTCACACTGCAAGAAGTTGCTAAGCATAACGGGACAGATGACTTGTACATGGTCATCCGAAACAAAGTGTACGATTCTACTTCTTTCCTCAAAAAACATCCGTAAGTTACTTCCTACGCAGGCAATACTATTCAGCTGGCTGTTCCCCACTCAGTAATGGAATCTGACTGGCGCATTACCCTAGTGGAGGAGAGGATGTCTTGTTGGAGGTTGCTGGAACTGATGCAACTGAGGCATACGACGAGGTCGGTCACGGGGAGACGGCCGACCGGCTTCTGAGCAAACTTTACGTCGGGGAGTTGGTCTTACTGGTACGTGTCAAATTATTGCTACAATTGAGCTCAGGAGGGGAAATGAACTGGTGCCAATCACCCATAGCCCATAGTCTTGTTACTGACTATTTCACAGGCAGCGGAAGGAATCAAGACCTCGGGTTTGCAAGGAAACAGAAAATATGTTGGGATTCCCTCGCACTTTCTACTTCTCATGGGTCTCATTGTTTGCCTCGCTTTACTACTGGGGTACATCAAGGCTAAATGAGGTGTTCCTCATTGAATTCGCGAGGAGCCCTAATCAAGGAACATTTGATGAAACTAACATAAAGTCCATATAATAGAATTCTATATTGTTAACCCATCATCCGTCACTCCAAAATTGTATACACAGCCTTTTCAAATTCGGTTAAGAGCTCAATAGCCTTCTGGTCACCTGAAGGAACAAGCTGGGACAAGAAAACTCCCGCAACACCTTTCTTGATATCCACCCACTACACGGTATTAGTAACGCTCCAGAGAACAAAAAGCCGAGCCAAAGACACCGTCGTGTCCACACTTTTAGATGACTCACCCAGTAGCAATTCGGCATTCCGGACCAGGTCAGCGAATACTGACTACGTCGACCAGGCACCTCGACGGTATTGATCAACCCTCCAAGCCCGTAGTCGCTGGGAACATGGTTGGGAACCGCGTTGTAAATCGCGTTGCGGGTATTGAGATCATACTTTTCCGGAGCATCCAAGTTTTTTCGGCTTTCCAGGTGTGGCTTGAACATGACCTCCAGGGTCTCGGGCTGGAGGAGCTTGCCTTGCAGGACTCCGAGGTAAATCTTGAGGAGATCATAAACGTTGGTGTAGATCCCTCCGCCCCCCATGTCATCGATCACGGGATCGGGCCACCAGAAGTCAGTAACTTCCTTGAGCTGGTCGTCATCTCGCTCCCACAGCTTTACTTTTCGGGCGCGAAGGTCCTCTCGCTCCTCAAGATGGAAAGTCACATCGTGGGCTGAGACGGGCTCGAATATGTTCTTCCTCATGTATTCACCAAGCTTAACGCCTGCCACAATTTCGACCTGGTTGTTACCTCGTTAGCTATACAAGTCAGTGATTAACGAAGCCGCTTACCATCAGCCCCGCCCACTCAAGTCCGGGACTGTAAAGCCATTGCTCTCCAGGTTCAAACACTAGGAATGTAGGAAAGGACTCCCTCTGAGCAACTCAGTTAGATCTCCACTCGTAGTTGATGTAGAGAAATGACGTACAACAGTCTGTACCACCATGGGCGGGTTACCATTCACTTCATTGTACCTGGCTGCTAGATCATGCATTACCGAATAGGCCATACCACTCGAGTGAGTTACAAGGTGGCTGGAGAATTCTATGAGTCACTTTCCTTACAGCCAACACAGGAACGGCCAAAAACCACATACCGAAGTGTGATTGGCCGCTTTGACTGGCGGAACTGCGGCTCGTTTTTCTCGTTGAATCCTGTCAAGATGACGGGGTCTTTCCATTCGGGTAGAATGGTTGAGATGTCAGCGTCCAGGTTCAGCAAACCCTTCTCGACGCATTGCATGACGGCAATGCTAGTGATGAACTTTGTCGCCGAGGCAATCCAATGCACGTCATCGGTGCTCTTACCCGGGAGACCACCAAAACACTTGGCGTAGTGGAGGGTTCCTGTATGCTCTTAGCAATAATCTCGTTCAGTTGAGGAACTGGGCGTACCGTCCCGGTTCACAGCACCGAGGGTGATACGTGGAAGCGGCAGTCCATCTTGGCCAAGGCTCTTTTCGATGGCTTGGTCGATTAAATCCATTGCAAAGGGGAGATGTCTAATTCCACGCTTGATCAAGATAGTCTAAGCCAGACACGAGAGCTTGAGGAGTAAACAAGTAGTTTAATATCTAGTTGTCTGTTCATCATGTTATCATACTATTTAAGTAAAATTAATCTGTTCATGCTCATGATTTCAATACGTTATATCGTAATTATGATTTTGTAATTTGAAGAAGTAATAATTGGATAATAAAACCAGTCCTATGAGTCGATACTTTTACAAACTAGGCCAATTTCACTTCGGAGCGTTCGCTTTCAGCAGATGCAAAGGAGGGTAGCGGCTTGGCGCTGAAATAGGATCGTGCCACCGATGATTTGACTTTCCCAATTGGTTATTATTGCGAGAGGGATCACCGTAACGTCATCATTGGGCTGTACGTGTTGCAGAACCCACTCCACCAGCAAACTCAAATCCATCCCCCAGAAGTCACTGATAGGTCTTTTTTGTCTATGCAAGGGTTGCTGAATCGTGACCTTTTTCATATCTTCAATTCTTTTATGGTACCAGAAGTTTAGCCCCTGGCCTGGTCCACAGCCGCGTCATTCACAGTGGCAACTTTGTCCGCTAGTAAGTGCTTGTGATCTTGCCATCTCGCCCTTTACAACACCTGACTTGTAGATTGGGTCCGAATGAGACTTCGCATGGACACGCCATAACAACTAGTATTGATTGGCAGTATCCGCATGGGATTCTGTCTCAAGCTCGCCATTTTGGCCTTTAACGAGCAGGTATGCTGGCTAGGCGCACACTTGCGCTATGGGCAAACCATGTGCTTGATGATGATGAGTCTCTTTCGCTATTCGCCCGTTACAGAATCAGACTGGTACGTGTTACGCGCTCCCTCGGCATTGATAGAAAGCAAGTGAATGTTGGACCACAAGTTCATCGTTCAACCGGTCACCTGCTGCAACAATAGCACGCCGGCTTAACGAGTCCTTCTTGTCTTCGAAGCTGGAGAGGCTCTGCATTCCTCAGTTTCTCACCTAAATTCTCAAGTGCCCTCTATGCTAATGGATTTGGAATACTCAGCTAACTCAGTCTTGCAGCAGAGCTTCAGTGCGCCCTCGATAGTATTTAAAAAAAAACTATATAATATAGCTATAGATATAGCTTAATCTTAGGATAGCCTTTATTTATAGTAAAAGAAAATAATAATATAATATAATATAATATATTCTACTATATAATATATAACTATATAAATTACTAGGTATTAGGAATTAATTAAGCTATATACTAATAATAAAGATTTTATTATAATAAATACTATATTATATTTATAAATATAATTAATTAATTTAACCTTATAAATTTAACTTTTTTAGTAAATATTATAAACCTTAAATATAATAACCTTTCCTAGAAGCTTTTTTACTATATTATACTAAGTAAGCCTAAATTTAAATTAATTTATTAAACTAAAACTTAAATAAGAGCTACTTTTATTTAAATTAACTTAATATAATATATAATATACTAGAACTAATAATTAAATATTAGATTATAATAAGTATATATAATAAAGTAATTATTATTAAAGCTAAGTTTATTAAGATCTTTTATATCTTTAAGGAGTACTTTATCTATTTAGTTATTATAATATAGAGATAAACTTAGTAGATATAGCTACTAAATTTACTCTATTATTAATAGCTTTATTACTATAAGAAGCCTTCTAATTAAATATAAGCTTAAGGATTTTATATATATTAAGTATAGCTCTCTTAGGTTATTTATAATTAAAAGTAGTATATCTTCTAGGAGCTTATTATCTACTTTAATAATTAAGCCCTTATTAGTAAGAATATAAGTATTAAATAATAATATTTTATTATTATTATTACTATTATTATTACTATTATTATTATTATTATTACTACTATATAGGAAAGTAGTTATAATTAGTAATAAGTATCCCCTTTTAGGGCTATAGCTAATTTATATATTAGCTAGCTTTTATTAAAGTTTTTAATAAGATATTAATACTTATACTTAAGCTAAATATATAAATATTTAAGTTTTTATAATATTAAAGGTTTAGGTATAAGTTATAAATTATATTTTAAAAACTATATATAATAGTTATATATATAGCTTGATCTTAGGACTAGATAACCCTTATTTATAGTAAGAAAAAATAAATAATAATATATTCTATTATACTATTTACTCTAGCTAAGGTATATCTATTTAAATAGTATTTATTTAAATAGCTTTTATTTTACTAGATATTAAGCTATATAGTTAAATAATATATAGCTTCTTCTATTTACTATCTTTTAAGAAAACCTTCTTTAAAGCTAAAAACCTTCTTATTTAAAAATATAAAGATAAAGTAATTATATAGTTTTAAATAATAAAAGAAAGTAATAATAAAAGTAATATATAATAATCAAGGTTTTTAAGCTTTTAATTAATTTAATTAATTTTTATATAATTAAATAAAATAAAAAACTTTAATAAATATCTTAAAAAGAGTTATTATTAATTAATTTAATAATATAAATATTAACTACTTTTAACTATATTATAAAGTAGCTTTATCATTATATATTCTAATTTAAGTTTAAACGAAAGACCTTTAAGGTATATAGTAACTAAAGGTATTCCTCCTTTTTACTTTAGTTATTTATATCTTCTAGCTATTTAGATATTTAATTATTATACTACTAGAACTTACTTTTATTTATTATATTAAGTTATTAAGCTTTAGTAACTTCTATTACTATTAAACTTTATTCTCTTTCTCTTATATAAAAAGCTTTATCTAAGAATATATATAATAATCACAACTGACCATTGATTTCTTTTGCTGATTTCAACTATTGGACTGCGCTAGGATGGGACCGTCAGCCATCAGAGATAGAACCGCAGACCTTTGTAACATCACAAGACGTGGGCATTGCACACGTCCTGTGCCTCTTATGCCAGAACTCTGAACACGTCCACTAGTACCGTGTCATTGATGAATTGGCTTGCCACTGCACGCGAACAAAGTCCCAATGTCACACGAAACCTGGCCGTCGGCTAGAATGATAAGCATAGGTTATTTACTGATTCGGAGTTCCCTCATGTTAGCTGCTGTCAGTCTCCCTGATAGGCAGGCCATGAGTTTGCGGTTTATGATTGCGGTTGTTTGCGGCAACTGGCGGGATTATAGGGACACCAAAGGAGTTGTGGGCGGCATAGGTAGTTTGAGCCGGACACACCATGTGGTTAAGCCGAGTGGTTCAACGGACCAACATGAACTATAAAATATCAGATGCAATCATCTACAATACATACCTGATCTTCAATTCTCTTGCATAGTCATTATCCAAATATTTCCGCCTATTAGAAAAAGCCATGGAGAACATGTATACACATGACATCCCCTACCCTTTCCAATTTAGGACTGGCCAACAGATAGAGATTCAGCATCAGACCAAAGGCACTGACACCGTCACATTAACCTTCCCCAATGCCCGTGGCCGTCTACCCTCGGCGCAGGCTTCACGGCTTCGGTCGATGATGCTCGAAGCCTTCGCCGATAAGACTAAGATCCTCGCGTATCCCTGCTCCTATGACGCCTTGTCCTCGCGGCTTGTCGAGGAAGCTGGATTCCCGATGCTGTTCCTGTCTGGATATACCGTAGCAAGCACCCACGGGCTTCCAGATACAGGTTACATTGCCATGCAGGAAATGTGCGATAAGATCCAAGAGACTGTGCGGCAGACTTCGGTTCCCGTCATGGCTGATGGTGATACGGGGTATGGAGGGCCGCCGAATGTCAGGCGCACGGTGGAGAGCTTTGCAATTGCTGGCGCAGCGGGTATCATGGTCGAGGACCAGACTTGGCCCAAGCGTAAGTTCTTGCGTGTAAATCTCGATGGCTGTCTGGGTACTAACACAGAGATTAGGCTGCGGACATACTAAAGGCAAGTCGGTTGTTTCTCGTGAAGACGCCTTTGCACGGGTTCAAGCTGCATGTGATGCCAGGGACAATGGGCTTGATATTTTCATCCTTGCCCGTACTGACTCCCTAATCCTGGGTTGGGATGAGGCTATCTATCGAGCAAAGGAATTTAAGAGAATCGGTGCTGATGCCGTCTTTGTCGAGGCTCTTCCCGACCGCGAGTCAATGAAGAGAGCAGTCCAGGAGATTCAAATGCCGATGATGGCCAACAGTACATTCCCCTATTCTTTCGAGGACTTCATCTCGCTAATGCTCGGCAGTCATCGAGGGAGGTTTAACCGAGAACCTCTCAGCTTTAGAGTTGGCAGAGCTAGGATTCAGCGCCATTGCGTATCCCTTCATCCTCGTCGCAGCCAAGTTGAAGAGCATCCGAGAGACCCTCCAGGCACTCAAGGCCAGCATGCCCGTGGGGCCTTCACCGACTATTCTTTCGGCAGAGGAAGTCTGCGAGGGTGTCGGGTTCAACCGTTACTGGGTTAGTTCACGTGTAGCTGATCAGGCTTTTGAATAACTGACACTCACACTTAATGCAGGACCTTGAAAGGAAGTACGCCCTTGGAATGAACGGACAGGTTGACGGGAAGGCCCGTGTGAATGATGATTATGGTATTGGAAGCAGAGTAAATTGAGAGCAACATTTCGCTATAGTTCAGCATTCTAGGGACATAGAGCAAGATTCCAGGTTCCATGAGAAATCCCAGTCGACACCATGATATCAAGCCCATTCTACATCCTTGCTACGGTGATATTTGAGCGCATCGACATCTATGAGCCCTTGGAAAAAGATTCGCACATGAAATTCTGTTACATTATTAGTACCAGGCCCCCAATTTCATCCCAATTGCCGGTAAGCTGGAAAGACCAAGTCAGAGTCACAATCATACGCTGTCAGAGGGAAGTAGATGGCTCTAATCGCCCATTCGGCCATGAGTATGAGGGTTTGAAAGGAACCAAAGCGGGTCTCGGGCTTTGGATTTCTTTTCTTGATCCAAGATGATCCTTGTCACCAGGGTGCTACTAAAGCTCCTAAAGGCGGTCGTGGAGGGTGTCACTGAGAGACCAACTGCTCCTTACTCGGAGGGAGTGGCAAGTTCATAGCTAATTGAGCATAATAGATTGGCTCACGAGAACCGTGGAGATGTACTAGAGTCTTCACACCGGAACCGATACCGGCTTACAGTCCCCGGTACGACGCTAACTTAAGTGACGAAGCACGACATCAGTCCAGGTACCAAGCTGGTAGTTACAGTAGCGTCAGTTGCCTATTTGGGCGATTCCGCGAAGCCGAACAAAGTGCACCAACGATGCTCATCACCATCGAGTTCTATTTGTCGAGACAATTTCACCTACAGAACTGTAATCCATAAGGGGAGACGTGTCGGGTCATCGCAGCGATAAAACCAGACTACGGTGTGAATCCCGTCGTGAAATGCGATTGCCTCTGGACGGGGGCCATATCTCCAGTACTCTGCTGCATCACAAATCAACTGACAATGCCAAAACTTCGACTTATCAATACTAAATTCTCTAGGTCTAAATACTCTCAATCGCTCTGAGTCGATTCTCCAACGCCCGCGTGACTACACTGGTGCCAGTTGCTAGCAGGTCAAACCCATGGGGTACACCGGGATACAGGTGAAATTCAGTTGATACCCCAGCCTGGGATAGCCTCAGAGCGTATTCCATATCTTCGTGGCGAAAGATGTCTAGTTCCCCCACGTCAATATATGTAGATGGCAACCCTGCTACGGATAGCACCCTTGCCGGCGCCGCGTAAGGCGAGACGTCACGGCCCTTTCCTGCGTTTCCTTGTCCTAGCAGGGCGGTCCACCCAGTGATGTTGTCGACATTCTTCCAGACGGCAAATGGCTCGAGATGCTCGTTTGGTTCAAGATTTCGGTCATCCAGCATGGGGTATATGAGGATCTGCTTGGTGAGGGGGGGCGTTAGGCCTCGGTCACGCGCGAGGAGAGCCACCCCCGCGGCAATACCACCGCCGGCCGACTCACCAAGCACAGCCAGACGGGCAGGGTTCACATTCAAGCTTGCGGCATTTTTGGTAACGTGTTCAAGAGCGGCGTAGCAGTCCTCTACCAGCGTCGGGTGCTGGTGCTCCGGGGCGAGGCGGTAGTCGACGGAGAATATCTGAACGCCTGTGCGGTGGACGTAGATTTCCAACGGCTTCGAGCAGTCCCGAGCTGTGCCGGTAATCATGCCGCCTCCGTGGCTATGGACTATGGCAGATGTTGGTAGGCCGTTGTTGGTTTCTTTCTTGCGCAGGTGGAGCACCTCGACGTCGGCGCCATCATAAGACTTGATGGAGAAGGTGTCAACCACAACGTCGGGAAACGTTTCTCGGTTGGTTCTGAGCGGACGGAACGTGGCGGTAATGTTCGCTCTTCGCGTTACAATGTCGTGTATCGGGGGAGAGTCGGGCCACCGCGTGAGTCCTGGCAGTAGGCTCTCCAAGGCCTGGACAAACTCTGAGTCGTACGCAAGGGGCATTCTACAGACGAGAAGGTTATGACCTCGAATGATGATTCACTCGTGTAATATTATTTCAAGCTAACGATGAATGTGGGAGAAAATGAGCCTGTTTTTATACTAGAACATGCGCCTCGGGCATAATAAACGTAGGGAGTCCATACCGTATTACCTCACATGTCATCCCGACCCGTAGATACTGCCAGGGTTGTCAGGAAGTGACGATATTGGCTCCAGTGTTAGTTTCCACTGTCCACTCAAGTGCCGAACTGTAGGCGAGCCAGTCAGACATTTCGGTGAAAGCAGGGAGCGTGATAAATTTCGCGAGGTGGTACAGTACCCCAAGCCGTATTTCGGCCTGACGTAACTTGCAACTTAAGCCGAGAGGACCGGAAATCAGCGGCTGATGAGATGCTCGGATATTGATCAAATTGGGTAGTTGAATCAAGTCACACTGGGAGTTTTGTAATAAAATCGAGTCAGGATTTCGCACTTTAACTTGAGCACATGTTTCACATCAAAAAATAACCTGTTTTGTCCTTTTGATAATACAATCTTTTTGACGATAGCTATAACATCTACTCCATTTTTCCTTATCACGCATCTATCACAGTGAAGGCAAGGAGTTGTTCGTTACTAGCCATTACCTACTCCATTTCACATCAGCACCATGCAACAAGGTAGCCAGTCCAGCATTCCCCTGCTCTACCCAGGAGAGGTATTGGATACCATTGCCGGTTTCCCGACAATATACCATTATCAGCCCGCCAGTGACTTGGCTACCCGCGATCAGCGCAAACCGTTGGTCCTATGTGTCACTGGAGGCTTGCACTTGGCCCGCGTATTCTACGGTGGGCATCGGGGATCATCGCCAAGTAATTTCTTGGCATATTGGCTCAACAAGCTCGGCTTTGGGGTCTTGTCGCTGTCTTATCCGCTCGAAACTGACCCGGAGATTATGCCAGTCACAGCCGCAGAGTTTCGGATCCAAGACTGGGGTCAACAAGCGGCCGTGACGACAGAAAAGATTATCAGAGAGAAACGTCTGGGGACAAGGTCATTGATCCTGATATCGTGGAGCATGGGCGGTCGGATGGTCGTGCCATTCAACATGGCGGCTAAGGAACTGGGGCTTGAGGTGCTGCAATTCATCAGCTTTGCAGCTACGCCGGGAATCTCAAGTCTTCGTGCTTTTCCCACGGAGCTCACCTGTCGCACCTCGGGATATTTCACAGCCTTGTCCCATCTAGACGTATTTTACCAACAAGTCAAGGAGATGGAGGAGTTAAACGAAGATCGAGATATTATCCCACGAGACATTTTCCTGCGCGAATATGTCGGCGCGACCCCCATCAACCTGATCGGCCTCGGCCTGAAATACGATGGCAAGGCCAGATTTGTTCGCGATGAGGCGACCCACGAGGAAGATACTCGTGTAATGGATTTTGAAAACTTCCCCTTGATCAGTGCCATATACCCTACCAGCATCTCCGATGCCAGTCACGCTCTAGCTGACAAGGCCACATGGGGGTTTCTACTCACCTACAAACTTGAAAGCATGATTGGGAACGATGGGTTGCGCAACTTCCAAGCAGGAACGAAATGGGAACAGTTTGTGGAACTCGTTCACGGCGCCCCGGAGAGGATGTGCATTCCCGTCCCAGGCAATCACTTCTTCTTTGTTGGCGAGAAATCCTCCAGGCGGGTAGCAGAAAGAGTGGCGAAACTCATCACTGATGCAAAGCGGCTTCAGAACGAAGTATTCGAGCTTTTGGCGAAGAAACATTAATTCCTTTGGGCAAACAATTAGCGACTATTTTATCATTCATATCCAAGATTTTCGCCTTAAGGCATAACAACATGAAGACACTCTTAGACTCGGACTCCTAACCTAGAGACAAATTAATGGGAATATTGGAAGGCGTAATGAGTAGGCTTAAATACGGTCAACGAAGCCGCACGCTTTCTCGAGTCAGCCAGGTAGATAGTGATAATTTTACAGCCTTGGGGCCTTTCAGCTTCAGACAAGCGTGACCGGCCATCGTCAATAAATACAGCCACATTTGCAAAGTCCGGCCCAAACTCAAAATCCGCTGTGGTCCCTTTCTTGAGATATATAAACTGGCCCTTTTCCAGGGTCAACGTCTCCCCCATGAACCTTCAGCTTGATCCAGCCCTTGGTCACGTAGAAAAACTCGCCGCAGGGATAAGTAAGTGTCGCGGTACCCGTCTCCTTGGCGGCGCCGGCGGCAATCCTTCCATCAGCAGAGCGGTAGATGACCGACTTGGAGCCGGCGTACTCGGGGAATGGGGTCCAGGGGAAGGAGTCCCAGGCGCCATGAGGGACGTCTGCGGGGGATGCAGAGCCCTTTGTATTGGGGATTGAGGACGGCATGCTCAAGGGGAGTTTGAACGGTTGCTGTTTGATGATGTAGCTGATTTTTTGGATTGATGCTATTGGTGGTGATTGTCATGGTACAATGAAATGCCCAGCCATGTCAGAAATAAACTACTAATATAAACCAGAGATTACCTTTCTGCATTCCTCATTATCTACGATTGTAAGTTATCTGCCTCTCGGGATTAATCCCAAGAGGGAAAGAAGCTAGTTAACAGTAGTTGTGGGGTGGTAACTGGTACGTGATCGTCATCCGAGCCCATTGCATCATACCCTTTTCTGAGCCTCGGGTTCTTCCTCTCACATTTGAATATTTCATCCGTCCTACCAACCAACAGCTCTTTATCAGTCGACGGCTGAGCTTCAGTAGACATCAACTGACATTGGTCACGGACGGACCAGAAGAACCTATTAGACACAATGTCTTTGCGTATCGAAGAGGTATATTCAAGTTTTCCTCACTATTAGTGTACCCATGGTAAAACCGGAAGCTAATACTATCAGATCTATACGTATCCCATCAAGTCCCTCAGGGGTGTACGGCTTCCTTCAATACGGGCCTTTCCCACTGGATTTGCATACGACCGTCATTTCATGCTTTGGGATGTTGATAAAAAGGAGAATCTTCACATTGGCCTTCGACCCGCCCTTTGCCTTTTCACCACCAGCTTAATCCCAGATGATGACCCGCAAAGTATACAGGTACAATATGGCCTCAGCCATACCTTTGATCAGCCCTTGGAGCCTGTCGAGCCGTCCCCCTTGACAGTACCCCTGGTGCCAAATGTGAAGGGGTTGGCGCAGGTCACCGTCACGATGCACTTGAGCCCGTGCTCAGCATATGACATGGGAGAGAAATACAATGACTGGTTCAGCCGTCGCCTGGGATACTCCGTCAAACTGCTCTACATCGGAGACTATCGCAGGCAAGTCCTGGGCAACATGGGCCAGGGAGTTGGGTCTGGTACGGTCAAAGTTCAGCCCTGGTTAGCGGCCATCCCAGTGACCCTCCTCCTTCCCCTGGCCTACTCTCTCTTTTCGGGACATGTGTCAAGTCTGGTCCAATTGACCATCTCCGTGTTGATGGTTCTTGCGAGCTGCGCCGTTCTCGTGGAGCGAATGGGCCTGTTGCAATCAACAAGCAAGCCCTTGATCACCTTTGCGGACCTCGCTGCCTATCTCATCATCAGTCGGAAGAGTTATCAAGATGTCAATGAGAGGCTGCCCGATAACGAGGACATGGATATTACCAAGTTTCGAGCCAACCTCGTGGTGTCGGGAGCCAAAGAAGCATACGAGGAAGACTTTTGGGCCGAATTACGCATCCGGAAGAGCATCACCATGAAGCTGACCCAAAATTGCGCGAGGTGCACCAGCCTCAACGTCGACTACGCTACAGGCAGAGCTGGTAGTAGCGAGGCTGGTAAGATTCTAAAAATACTAAGCAAAGACAGGAGGGTTGATCCGGGAACCAAATGGAGCCCGATCTTTGGGAGATATGGCTTCTTCACGCCGATGTCATCATCGTCTGATACCGTCGTCATCAATGTAGGGGACGAGGTCGAGGTGACGGGGCGCAACTCGGAACGTACAATCACAGGCAAGTAGTTTCCTTGAGTGAAAACGTACAGCATGTCCTAACTAAATTGACGCAGATTATCCCAAAAGCTAATTTCTGACTTGATCGGTACTCGCACGGAGTTGCTAGGGACGAGCAACCTGAACGCCGGGGAAGATGCTGGGTGGCGAGCGAATGCGCTTAGAAGTAGATGATTATTACATTCAGTAGTGAGCCCAATCACATTGACTTCTTTCTGTATATGGTAGACAGACATCGAGTCTCAGGCTAGTCAAGCCGAAATTACACCTTTCAGAATATCCTTCCTCCATTGCTCGCAAATGGACGTCTTACGACCAAGTGCATGGAACTACATCACGATGAGAGTATTCATTGTGTTGAGTTGTCGGGCTGTGGCAGCTTCCATTGCTGTTGAACTTTATTCTCTTTCTCTTACGTATCACCATGAGACACAAGTTTTCAAGGCAAAGGGATCATTGTAACACAAGGTAAGGGAGTTGACATAGCTAACACAATAACCCAACTACCCACACCGCGCGTTGTTTGTTCGTCATCGAAGCCGTTGCTGGCCGCCAGGATTCTTCGACGAATGAGATGCTTTCGAGGAAGGCTCAGGAGTCAGAAAACGGGCCCGAGTCGGTTACGAAAGGTCCAGGGTCCTCATTGACAAGAATAGAATTTGAGCAGAACTCTAGAGTCACTACTCTGAAGAATTGCTCGAATCATCGTCCGGCATGACTATGCTGTTGAGAAAGGTAATCTACACGTGTCAATGCGAGTACAAATAAAACTAGTCTGTAGTGCACCTACAAAGTTGACCAAGGGTCTGAGAGTCTCCTTCACCCTTTCCTGCGTATCATCGGCGCATAGCAGGTTGTCTTCAATCCTTTTGGACACGGTGAACTTTTTCAGCTTCAAGAGCTCAATATCCTGGTGGTTTGTATTGAATCCCTGGCAGTGTGTCAGCTTGAATGCACGCGTTCGACAAGACACTACCTGCCTTTGGTTTTGTTCGCAGGGCTGAATCCTTGTTCTCACGAGCAAAGGACTTTAGCGCCTCGCCCTCGCCGGACCCTGGCGCCAAGCCAGGTAGAAAGGCCTCCTTGAGGGTGTATTCGTTCAAGACTCGGCGCCAACGCCTCGGCCTCTCGTCAATACTTGCACGGAGCCTCTGGAGCTGGCGAGTATCTGGAGCGAAGATACCGCCAGCAATGAGGGACGCCCCGGGCTCGCAATGGATGTAGTAGTGTGCATATGTCCCTTTCCGCCCCGTACGGGACCACGCTGCCGAAAAGTGCGCCTAGAAGTTATCACTCCTTAGTATCAAAGCAGCCTTCCTTGGTCACCACTGGTATCACCTTGTACGGCTTCTTGTCGGGACTGAAGCGCAGGTCTCTGTATATGCGGAACATGACATCCCTGGCCGGCAACTCGGGAATAGTATCGTCTAGAGCCATTATCGTGTATGTGGTGCGCTCAACAAATGTTTCCCAATCCCTAAACGCTCGACGAAACTCTGCATTGTGAGCTCGGGGGTGTTAGTGATACGAATGCCAAGGCTTCTAGCGCCATCCCTACCTTTCAGCCATCGTCGGTTGTTGTTACTCTTCAAATCTACCAAGAACAATAAGCTGTTGGGGTGAAGGCGGAAGTCGACGTATTCGATGTTGCCTTCATCCCTCACTTGTTCCAGAGGTATTATAACCACCCCCGAGGGCTCGTCTTCGGACTGCTCGCTGTGGGACTGATCTCGTTGGGTTTGTTCTTGTTCGGAATCTTCGCTGTCGTCGGCCAAACTGTATTCGTCGTCTTCATCGTCTTGTTTGCCCTCTTCTGAGTCATTGATGTGCTCTTCTCCTAACTCGTCCTGCTTGGCCAGCTGCTGCACATGACTTGATCTGTTGCGCAAGGCGGGCGTGATCTTCTCCTTGCAACTTTCACTGTCGATTTCGCCACCAAAGGACTGGCTTGATACCTGCAGATGATATGGCCCCGAGGCGGAATGGAGAGAACGTTTTCGCTTCTTTACAGCCATGATGCTCTTTTTCTTAACGAGAAATGCAACAAGACAACTAGGCTCAATCTTTGAAGAGTACATATATGAATTTCTAAGATGAATTATTGAGAGTCATTCCTACTTGCTTTCCACTTGCCCCCTGCACAAGCAGAAACATACACCGTGCTCTCCCGCATTGAAATTTACGTAGTTCGGTCACACGGAGCTAGCAGGGAACATCTTCACCCTTCTTATCCTTGACTGTCGGAAGACACACCAGGTTCTACTTCCCAAACTGACAATTTTTATGTGTCATATCCGATGCTCCAAAAAAGGACTAGGATGATGTTGTTTCTTCATGAGTAGCCCCGGCCCTCACGACACGGGTGAGTGTACCAAAACGGGAATCCGCTAACGTGAAAAGAGCGCCATGTCTGCCTGATTGTTCTCATTACGTGATTTGGTCAGACCATGGTGTTTACCCCACTGATGCCCTCGGGGAAATTTCAGCCATTTCGGAATTGGTCCCAAACAGGAAAGGGAGAAACGAGCCTTGACACAGCGTAATTTGGCAGATGGCTAGATATCTGTACTACATGATTTTCAAATGAGAATCTACCTTGGAAGTGTTAGTCTGAAAAGCCTGGTTCATCTCTTAAGTTTATGCTAGCTCCCTTATCTAATCTTATTAATATCTTTTAGCTATAAATTAAGAGCTACTTATATATACTATAGTTATATTATATATTTTTTTCTACTATAAATAAAGGTTATCTTAAGATTAAGCTATATATAATAATAATATTATATAGTTTTTTTTTTAAAAATATTATTATTTATTTCTTTTTACTATATATAAAGGTAATATCTTAAGATTAAGCTATATATATAACTATAAGCTATAGCTATTTAATATATATCTTAAAAAAATATACTATAGTTTAGACCTAAACCTTTTTAATATTATAAAAACTTTTAAGATTATATATAAAGCTTAAATATAAGTATTAATATTTTAAAAAAAACTTTAATAAGAGCTAGTTAATATATAAATTAGCTATAGCTTTAAGAGGGAATACTTATTATTATTAATTTCTCTTAATTTAATTTAATTTATTTAAGTAAAGTAATAATATTAATATTTAATATTATTATCTTTAATAAATATTTAATTATAATAAATAATTAGATTTTATAATATATAATAATAATTATAAAAAATAATTTAAAGAGGCTATTTTCTAAATATATTAAGTATTTAAGCCTTTAATTAATTATAAGCCTCCTTATAATAATAAAGCTATTATTAATAATTTAAATTTAATAATATATTCCACTAGTATATATTTTAAATTAATATATATTCTACTTTCCTTAAAATTTTAATCTTTTATTTTTTAACCTTTCTTATTTAATTAAAAAAAATATAAATATAAAGTAAAGAGTCTTAAATAACTCTTATACTTTAGGCCTTATAATAGAACCTAAAATTAAATATTTAAAAGGCTATAAAACTCTATAATATTAACTATATTATTCTTAGCTCCTAAAAGTATAATTATACTACTTACTAGGATTTTTAGTATAATAATTAGAATCTTACTAATATAGAAAAGGAGGTTATTATCTAGAGGGTCCTTAACTTAAATTTATAAGTATTTTTACTATATATTATTAAGGTAAAAGATATAGTTAATCTCTTACTATATAACTATAATATAGAGTATATTAGTATTAATTAAGCTTCTTACTTTATTAAGTATTAACTACTACTTAAGATAGTTCTATTATAGAAATATAATTATTAAAGAGCTTTATATGAAGATCTTAAGATTATCTACTTATAGTTTAATCTTATATAGAATATAATAATTAAATATAGTATTCTAAATAAGAATATTTATAACTTTAATAAAGCTAGCTTTTTAATAAGTTAGATTTCCTCCTATATTATAGTAATATATTCTAATTAAGTAATAAGGCTTAAATTAATATAGCTTAATAATTAGAAATAAGTTTCTTTAATCTAGGTAATAAATATAGCTAATTAGGTAATCCTATTATTCCTAGTAGTAAAAGGTAAATATTACCTTTTATCCTAAATATAAAAAAGTAATTTACTACTTAACTAAAGGATTACTATAAGTAATAATAATTAGACCTTAAATATAATTAGCTTAAATTAAATTAAGTATTTTTACTAAAGTACTTAATTAAAAACTAAGGGTAAATATTACCTTCTTATACTAAATAATTATAAGAGCTATTATTTAATAAAGTTTAAGAAATACTATAAGTAAAATAATATTATTACTCTCTATATACCTCTTTACTCTTCTTATTTACTTTAGTTATTAGATATTAGCTATTTTAGCTTATTAAAGAAAATATATAGTTAATAAATTAAATATTTAATAAAGGCTTAAATTATATATATTATAAAGGAAGACTTTTTCCTTATATTTTTAAAGGTATTTAATATTTTTATTATAAAGGAAAATATTTAAAAAGGCTTTAGAGGTATTAGATTTATCCCTTTAAATACTAAGAGTATTATTTTAAAGCTAAATATATAAATAAGTCTATTAATATTATTAAAGTTATTAAATAAACTACTTAGTCCTTAGTAGTTAAAGACCTTAATTAATATATTAAAGGCTACTTTATAATCTAAATACCTTTAGAGATAAATAAGAGCTTATTAAAGTAACTCTTTAAGTCTAATTATTAAGGGTATTAAGTAGATTATAAAGGGTATAAAGTAAGTAATATATAAGCTTATACTTCTTAAAGGAAAGGTATTTAAGCTTAAGAAGGTAAATAAGTAGCTTAATAAATACTAAAGAGCTAAGAAACTATATTTATAGAAAGAAGGGTCTTTAACTATATAGGAATTATAAGATCTAGTAACTAAGAGGGATATTAAGGTATAAATATAAAGGGAAGATTATATAGGGTAAGGTTAAAAGCCTTAAGAAGAGTAATATACTTAGTAATATAGTATATATAGAGAGATAAATTATAATATATAAATATATAAAGTAGTAGAGGATTTATTTAGTTCTAATTCTAAAGTTATTTTAAATAATTAAATTAAAAGATAAAGATAAGGGAGTATTTTAACTAAGCTTAGTTAAAAATATTAAATATTAACTTAAGAGGCTAGCTAGGCTAGATCTTAATTAAGCTTAGCTAAAAGACCTTAAGGCTAAAGCTTTAGCTAGGCTTAATTAAGATCTATCTAGGAATATACTATTTTAGCTATATTAATCTTATAAGAGGAGAAATAGAGAATAATAATAGAAAAAGAGAAAAAAATAAAGTATTATTATTTAACCTATTAAGCTATAATAGCTTAATATATATAAGCTAATTTTAGTAAAATATTTTTTTTAGTTATATTTATATATAATAGTAATATAAAAAATATTTATAGAAAATATAAAGGTCTAGGGTAGAAATTATAAAGCTTAATAATAATAAGGTTAAAGAAAGTAGAATATATACTAGTTTAAAATATATACTAGTGGAATATATTAATTATAATTATTAAGTTTATTAATTTATTATAAAGCTAGTAAGATAATATTAATAAATTAAGTTAAATATAAAGTACTTTTAAAGGATAAGAAAAGCTTAAATAAGCTAAATTTTATTAATAATTATTTCTTTATATTTATTAATTATAATAACTTAAAGTTTAATCTTTAGTTTTAATATATTATATATTATATTAAGTTAATTTAAATAGAGATAGTTTTTAAAGATTAAACTTATTTTATTAGTATAATTAATATTATATTATAAATTAAAGAGGGGGGTATAAGAATAGGTATATATTTATATATATTTATACATTTAGGAGAGATAAGTAAGCTTATATTTAAGTAGCTTAGCTATCTATCTCTCTTCCTTTCTTCCTTCCTCTTCTCCTCCCTAGTTATTAACTAAAGGTTATAGTAATTATAATTACTATTTTATATTAATATATACTTTAGAATTAAAAAAGTTAATTAATAAAAGTATATTTTAATAATTATAATCTAATTATTTAAATCCTCCTCTTTAAAGGAGTTAATTTTATTAAGAATATAATTACTAAAGTTAAATAAGTTAGCTAACTACTTAAGATTAAGGTCTTAAAGTACTTTAATTTTTAATAACCTTATAGCTTTAGTAATATCTATAAGCTTATAATTATTTATATTTATATTAAGAAACTTAAAAATTAATAAGTTATATAGTTACTTTAATATATCCTTTAAGTAAGATATTTATATTAATATTAAGATTTAGTATACTTATAGTTAGTTAAGTTTAAAGTAAATTAAGTGAGATTAATAGTAAGTATAAGCTTAGTAGGATGTTTAATTTTAGTAAGGACTTAAGTATATATAGTAATATATAAAGCAGCGAAAGTAGTAATATATTATTAAATTATCTATAATAATAAAGGTAGTAATTATAGAATAAATAGATTATTAATATAGACTTAAGCTATATAGTTCTATTAGAAAAAACTAAGCTAGAGATAATAAGAGTATATATAATTTCCTTTATTAGTTAGGTTTACTACTTCTACTACTTAAGTAGATAAGCTACCTCTTTATAATAGAAAAACTATTTTTTACTCTTAAATTATTCTTTATTTTTAAAATTATAATCTTTTATTTTATTCTTTATATAGCTAAATTAGCTTATATAATAACCTAAATAATCTTATTTAATTAATTAAATATAGAAGTCTTTAACTAAATACTAAATATATATATAATTAATTATAATTATTAATTTTAATAATATAGCTTAATTATAAACCTCTTTATTAATTAATATTAATATTATAATTATAGATTTACTTAATTTTATAATTATAGTATTATTAATTAGGAATTTCTATTAATACTTATATAATAATTTTACTTAAGCTTAATCTTTAAAGTAAAGAAATCTAATTAATTAATTACTATTTAATCTTTTAAATAACTTTATAATAAGGAAAAAGTACTTTTATACTATTAAAGTAAAAAGAACTTAAG